AAAAAAAAGTACGAATATATAAATTAAGAATGATCGTTATGATTAATAAAATGATGTCATTGTTTTGATGATAGCAATAGGAGTGTAGTCGTCGTAGAATAAATGAGAAGAAAAAAAGAAGGCCGACGACTACCATATTACTACCAACATCAACATCACTGAGTCCCGTGCGTCGTCGACGACGGCAATGCACACACTAACACACGCGCTCGCACAAGGAACAGAGGAGAGACGACACAGAGGGAGAGAGAGAGGCAGAGGGAGAGAAAAGAGAGAAGAGTATTATTTAATAAATAATCGTCGATGCTGATTTCATTTTTTCTTCTCCACTACACAAGCGTCTTTACAACATACGTGAATGCCAAAATGACATTCACTTGACTGGACAGGAAAACAGACAGCACTTCAGTTTTCGTTCTCATCAATTTATATACATTCATAAAGATCTTCCGTCTTATTGACGCGAGTTCTATTTATCACCGAATTTAACAGACTTTTTCACTTCATAGTACTTTATATATTTTATGGAATTCTGGCGCAAATTAAAGTTACGATGGGTAATTATCTATGACTAATAAATAATAGCATGAATTATGATTGATGGATTGATTGATGGATTAATCGGAATAAATAATAAAAAAAAAAGAAGAAAACTGTTATTTTCTTATTTATATTTTGTATTTCATTTCATAACTAACGTTTTTTTGTTTCTTCCAAGGATTCAAATGTAACAACTGTCTTGGGTGATTACACAGCACGTAGTTCACAAGAATTAACTGTAACTAAAGGTCAGCACGTTCGTATCGTTCAAAAACAACCTCCTAATGCGCCTGATTGGTGTCTTATTCGTGTATTAAACGATTATCATCAAAATCATCATCATCAAAATCAATCAAGTCCATCTTCACTTGCTGCATCATCAACGACTATTACAAATATAGCAGCTGATTTATCCTTATCCTTACCTTCAAAATATACTGAAGGACTTGTACCAGCAGCTATTCTTAAATTAACTCGAACATCTTCCTCAACTATTCAATTACCACCACCTCTATCTCCTGCAATAACAACTAGTAGTACAAGTGAACAAGGTAATTTATTTTTTTGTGTATTCAAGCAAAAGTTTCACTTAGTTGGATGATTAAGTTTTCTTTTTAAGGAAATAATATAGAGTAAAAATCTTTGAAAATCAATTTAGTATTCTCATTTGGGACTAAAAAGAAAGGAAAGACAGTTGAGTATATATATTTATTAGAAATATATGTTTATATTATATAGTCTAAATCAATAATATAATATTCTGTCAACGTAAAACTTCAGTCTAAAAAAGTGACATGCTATAAAAAGAATCCTTTGACATATATGCCGTGATAAAAAAATTGACTTATTCATCTCAAATGATTATATTTGACTGATATTTTGTGACATCATCCGATGAGAAAGAATTCAAATAAGATTATTTTTGTGTGAGTATATATTTTTCTTGAATTTTTTTTTTTCAAAAACTAATAAACAAAATTGATTCGTCATTATATTAATAACTGGTTAATTTGATATGACTTTTGAAGGTTTTTATTTCATGATAAAAGAAGAAGAAAAAAAAATAAATAATTTATAGTGACTATTATATATTACGTCTACATACACAAACGTATCAATTGAAAAGAATAATTAATTTAGGTTTTTTTTCTTTATTTAAATAATATCGTATTAATTTATAATGCATAGTTTGATTCTTATTAATTAAACTTATTTTTCATTCAGAATGTATTCTCTTCCAATGTCATAGAATATTTATTTATATTTTGATCTTTATATTTTCCTGGAAAAGATCACTGCATTTTCATAAATTACAATCAATATATATATATATATATATATTATTGTATTCCAGTATACTTAATAAAAGATTAGATGTTATATAATCATTACCGTTCTGTATATAATCCATAATATAACGACATTTTTCCAATATACTTCATATATTGATTAAATCTTCATTGGTAGACTAACTTTATTATACAATTTGTATGCTTCCTTCGACCCAGAAGATGAATTGATTTGTTATTACTGTCTATCTGTATCTTCCAATAATCATAGAATCATTCGAACCTAATTGCACTTTATCATATGATTAATGATACTTCTACGTTGTCCTATTTTAGTTTGAGAACTTTTGGGATTTCATCTTAGAAGTAGTTAAATAAGATGCTTCTTCTTTCTTTTTTGTGTCTATTCTTTTACGATATTCTATGACAGAATATACAAATTATATTATGATAAGAATATAAACTATTATCAGTGTTGTTTTTCATCATATTCATAATTTATATTCAAATAATAATCTGTTATCATAGTATGATAAATTTAGAATTATGTATAGAATTTCGATGCTTTTCATTATTTATTTTGTAATAATAATATATCATTTTCTATACAATGTAGAAATATTGTACTCAGAAATGCGAAAAAATTTACACATAAATCAAGGCGAAAAAAAATTATAGTACTCTAAATACTGATTCGCATGTATTTATAATAGACTATATTCTAGGAACTTCACACTATTTGTGTTGTATATTAAAATAATAACTAAAAAAAATTTTTAATCAAATATTTCATACATATTTTATGAGTAAGTCTCAGCCGTTAACAGTTAACGAGTAGAAAAAAAATTTTTTTTTACTATGAATATCTAATATTTACTGAAGTAAATACTATTTGATGATGAAATATGAATTAACTTTATTTTTTTTTGTAATATTAATTTAAAATAATTCCTATAAAACTTCAATTAATACTAGACACTGATAGGAAAAAAAAATTCTTTTTTTCTTCTTTTTGCTCATTAATTTTTAACGGTTGAGAGTCACTTATCAAATATTAATAACTAAACTTTGGAATTATTTCAAACAAAACACTACTTTATAAATGTCATTACTTCCCTACGTGTCACTCTTGAATATATAGAATGATGAAATCTAGTGAAAAAAGTTCATCAGAATATATTTTTCTTTCTTTGTATGTCAATTATGATAGTTTAATTTCCCATATTTCTTAATTTAGATGATAATTCCAATAAAATAGACGAATTACCAAATCGAATACCTCCATCAGCTTTTCAACTTACAAAACGAAAATCAAGTTTTCGGTAAATAAATCGATTTTTAATAATTAATAGATTAATATTATATTATTTTTAGACGAATTCTTAAAAATCCTGCTCGACGTCTTAGTTTAAAAGATAATAGTAGTATAAATAAAGATCTAAAACCACAAATTTCACATGATCTAGTAACAAATTCAACATCTATTCTATCATCAGATAGTAATGAGACTATATCTATTGTTAATAGAAGACCACCATTACCATTTAATACAAGTAACTCAAGAAAACTCAAAGTACATAACAAAAACTGAAAATAAAAGAATTGATTTTCATTATTTATATTTTTTCCTTTATTAGGCATTTACATTTACAAATACTGAAGATTTGACATCATTTCCTGATGATACGGTATGCTATCTTTTGTTTTGATGAGGCAATTTCCGAGTTTCAACAAGCTTGCAATTATTTTGTCATCGTATCAGAATCAAAAAAAAAGAAAAATAACGATGAAAAAGAGAAAAGAAATATTCCCAATAGTATGCAACTAAATAAAATAGATCACTATCGATTAATACTCCCATAGCAAAATCAGGTTTTTGTCTTCTATTAACTTTCATTAGCATAAGAATAACACTTCGCTTCTTTTTTTTCTTGTTCCTTCTATCTATTATGTAATTCTTTGCTATATATATATATGAACATAGTATAAGAGCAAAAATAGGATAACATAAGCATGTAGTAATATAATGCGTATGCATATATCTGTTACGTCGTCATCATCATCATCGTATCCTTTCGTATGACTACTAACCACTGTCGTCATCTTATCGATAAACATATGCATTCTTCGTTCATCACTTTCATCTAAACGATTATTTATATATATATATATATATTCAGTATAAGTTGAACAAAATGCCTGCTCTTCCATGGACGAAAAAAAATAGATTATTATCATCGAAAAAACAAGATAGTCAAGAAAATGTAAGTTTTTATTCAATAAAAAATATACGTATTATTACAGTAAGAAGACTATAACATAATTCAAAAGAGTGTATTCTTACGTTTAATAACTTCTAATTTAATTTTTGTCTTAGAATTCTATGAGTAAATCAATTGATAATGATGGTATAAATGGTATTTACAAAATGACTGAATCATCTTCGTCTCCATCCAGTGTTGCTACAATTATTTCTCCAATAAGTAATTTAGAAAATGATATAATTGAAATACCACCATCTTTCGATATTCAATCCCAACTTAAATTATCTATTAATAGAGATATTGATTCTCCAGCAGCTGTAAGTAATCAGTTTTTTGTTCGATGTCACATCATCTATTCATATGCAGATCAGGTGACGTCAAAGAAAAATAGCAACATGCAGTATTGAAGCTATACTATTATTAGTGGTAGTAGTAACAACAAGAACAGTTGCCCTATATTGTTTCTCCTTCATTTTTTACTTCTCTATATGTATAATGCAGTACTAAACAATGCAGGCGTTATCTCGACACATCCATTACACACTTATGTAAAGAAGGCAGCAACAGCAGGATAGTGTCGTTAATAAGAAGCAAAAGAAAAAATCATAGAACTCTTCCAATATACATATATATATGTTTGTATGTCATCGATGTTCAAATATAAACACATACATTTTTCTTTTCTGGGTTCATTAATCATGGTCTTAGTAAAAGAGTATAGATAATGACACAATTGCTTATATCAAGCTGAATAATAACAACACATTGTCGTTCAGTGTGCGAACGAGAATTTCTTTCGTCATCTAATTGCTTTGCTTGTTGCTGATACTTCATTAGTTAGAACAAGCGAATGCTCGCGAGCGCGCGCGCGCACGAGCAAGCATCTATGTATATACACACACACACACTAACATGTAAAGGAAAATGTGTAAGCAAAAAGTAGTAGAAACGACAACGAGTGTTCGTTTCTAAATAATCGCAGTAATAATATTAGACGGCCGAACGAGGCCAAACAACATAGAACAAGGCAATAGTGCTTGCATTTTCTTTCTTTCTTTAGTTTTTTTTTGCATTTCTCGCTTCTTTACTGTCTTGTGTCTACTATCGACGTCTTTTGTGACATTTTTTGTTTAATGGAAAGACAACGACGATAGTTGTGCTAACGCTAACAGCATCTTGAATAATACGGGCGTGCACTTTGTTCTTGAGCATCTTTACTTTTAATCAACGAGAAAATTCTTACAATAAATATAATATTCAGAACGGAGATCAATACAGTTGTAAGAAAATTGGTCAGTACACTTGCACTGGACTCATCACCCAGGGCCAACAGTGGTGACCTTTCATCACGTTTACGTAAAGTACGTACAGCTCCATTAACAACGATCAGTCCGATTGAAGATAATTCAGTTATTGCTCGACTTGTTCAGCATGTTGTAAGAATCATTATAAAAATTTTCAAACGAAAAAAAAAACAAATCAAATCTTTTAATTATTTTCTTTTTCTATCTACAGGCACCAATTAATATTGTTTCTGGATTTTCCGCAAGTGATTTTCATATCCCAGCTGCCTTATCAATAAATACACCATCCACTGATGATACTTCAACGACGAGTATGCCTTCATCATCAACAATAACTGTGATTTCCAATGATAGTCAAAGTGAACAAATAGATGAAATATCTTTAAATGATACTGATCAAGCAACATTATCATCAATAACAATTAATGATGAAGCTGTTGATGATCGAACTAAATATGGTGGAAAAAGAAGGCATAATATTATTGAATTAATAGAAACAGAAAAAGAATATGTCAAAGATTTAGCATTAATTGTTGAGGTAAAAATAAAAAGAAATATTTTCTTTTTTCTCTACAATATTTTCATTTCTAGGGATATATGAATATTCTTGAAAATGATAAGGAAATCAAAAAACCAACTGGTCTTTCGGGCCGTGAACGTGTTGTTTTTGGTAATGTACAAAGAATATATGAATTTCATCGAGAGTAAGAAAATTCAATGATTTCTTTTCGTATATATAAATTCTTTTTTTTATCTTTCAGTACATTTCTACCACAACTTGAAGGATGTATTGAAAATCCAAATATACTTGGTCGATTATTTACCGTATGAATCAATGAATATTTTTTTTGTTTATTAAATTTCTCTTATTTAGACAAATCGATTTAATCCTTATGTAAGATACTGTGAAAATAAACCACGTTCGGAATATATTGTTTCGGAATATCATGATTATTTTGAAGTAAGTTTTTGTAATTTGTAACATACATATTTAGATAAAAAACACAACCAGAAATATTCCCTAGAGACAATTAAAGAGCATCTGGTAAGAGCACACAAAAAGAAAAAACAAAAAAAAGATATATCTATGTAGTAATTACAAATAGTTATTTATATTAGAAGAAGAAGAAGACGACGAAGAAGAAGAAGTCAAAGACGAAGAAGAAGAAGAAAAAATGTATAACAATATAAGAATAAAAAGTCATAATCTTTTTTAACTATAAAAAAGAAAAATTTCCGCTTAAGATAGAAAAAACAATTTTCATAAGATTAATTATTCTCTTCAAAAACACGAGCTCTTTCCTTTTTCCGGAAAAAATCTATGACTTATATTGAATAGATTTAATCCAGGTCTCAAATGATTAGAACTATTCTTTGTTCGAAAAAATAAAAATATATACTGAAAATATTGTTGATACAATCTCACTTAAAAGACAACAAGATTTTATTGACATATATTCATTTAATGAGAATAGCAAAAAAACGGTATTTACGACCTTCGAATATTCATACACCGTACAAATCAATCTAATCACTAACATATGTGACATTGAAAGTGTATTTTGATGATAAGTAGATCAATAAAAGGATACTTTTCTAAAAAAGACATTGTTGTTACAATAATAAGTGCATAATTATTGCAATTAAAAGCATTCAATTAATACTATTTTGTTGTTTTTTTTATAGGAAGTTCGTAAAAAACTTGGTCAAAAATTGCTTGTATCTGATTTATTAATAAAACCTGTACAACGAATAATGCGTTATCAATTATTATTAAAAGAAATTCTTAAATCAACTGAACGTATGGGTGATGAATCACGTGCTATACGTAGTGCTTTACAAGTTATGATTGAAGTTCCACAACAAGCTAATGATATGATGAATGTTGGTCGAATAAAAGATTTACCAACAAATGTACATCAATTAGGTGAACTTAAATTACAAGATATGTTATCTGTTAGTGAACCAATGTCATCAAAAGATACAAAAGATGCCGAAAAAAAATTGAAAGAACGACGAGTATTTTTATTTCAACAATCAATGATTTTTTGTGATGAAATACCAGCGAAAGATAAATATTCAAGTCCAAATTATATTTATAAATGTGAACTTAAAGTAAATATTTTTTTTTGGTTACAACAAAAACACAAGATGAATATTCTTTTTTTCGTATTTAGATTAATAAATTACAACATAAAGAATTTAAACGTAATAAAGAATTATGTCAATTTACATTAGTTGAAGTTGATGCTGGAAATACTCGTCGAGTTATATGTCAATGTAAAGATGATGAACAATATGAATTATGGGTCACTAATGTAAATAAAGTGCTTCAACGTCAGATGGATCTTATTATAGGTAATAGATTTTTTTCTCAATACAGATGATATTATTGCACTTATCTCTTAATTACGAGTAGTCTATAGCTTTTATCTTCTTCCATATGATGAATCTACTAGATTATTCACGGTATGAGATCCATTTAAGTTAATAGATAGTAGAAATATTTCATATCATTCAAAGATTAAATTAGAATAATATTTTTCAGATTCTTCATTATTTTTGAGATAATAAAAAATTATCACGACAATAATAATAAAAGCAATATATAGAATCAACGCCTTTTCGCTTTGCTTCGCATAAGTACTATTTGTATCTTCAATTATTATTATTATTATTATTATTATTATTATTAAGATTAGTGTATGTATGTTTTCCGGTCTTAATTATAATATTTCTCGAACAATCTCTAAGGCCTGGTTAGAGGTCAGAGATTCTTCGTGATATGTATCCATACCGCTCTCATTTAATTATCGAAAAAAAAAATTTTTTTTGTCATTCAATTTATTATTTTCTCATATGAAAAGATTGATGTAACATATGTTTTTTTCCTTTTTTTTATTATAGCTCTAACTAATCCAACAGCTGCTCTACAAAAAGAGTAAGTAAATCTATAATATAAACATTTATATCTCTGTATATCAACAATATATATATATTATATTTTTTCTAATAGTCCTCGTTCTAAATAAAATATTTAAACAATAAAAAAAATACACATACACAGACAAATGAGAGAAAGAAATAATCTATATACCTAGTAAGATAATTGAATGAAACCTTCCATCGTTTTTGTATGTATTTGAACCGATATCATTATTATTTTTCTTTCCTAAGCTTGTTCATTTCTTTACGCATGTATTTATTTCTCCAATCAACCTGCCTGTTTTGATATTTTTACCTTTTATATCTGTATGCTATATATATATATGTATCTACCTAAATCCTAGGTTATTATCATGGGAAAAAGCTGAATGGAGACAAGCAGGTCGTCGACATTTTACTTCTAATGATGCTGCTGTTATTGTTTCATCACATTCAAATATATGAAATAAAAACACACTCACGTATAAGCAAGGAAAATTGATGAGCTTTTGTTTGTTTTAATTTTTTTTAAACTGAGCTTTGATATGCGCTATTCAATTCTTAATACTCACAAAAACACTATTTTTTTTTTTATTATTTACTACTTATAAAAATTCAATATAAATACATATCCATATGTCTTATTCTAGGCAAGATTCATCCATGTTATTATTTACACATTCATCTCGAAATCAAATTAGAAAATCTATATCTGATCGTTCAAGTACAATATCAGAAATCTCATCAACATCATCATCATCATCATCATCATCGAAACATCCAACATTAATTAATTCTTCCGATTTAACAATTGATAATACAAATAAAAAATCAACATTATCATTTCATTTATTTGATTCGATATTATCACGTTCAATAACAAAACCTTTAGCAATAAATACATCAAAAAAACGATCACCTACACGACCACCATCATCATGTCCTCAAACATCATTTGAAATACCTGAACAAGCACGTTGTTTATATAATTATAATGCAATAAAAGAAGATGAAATATGTGTACATAGAGGCGAATATGTTCAAATATTAAATGCTAGTCAAGATAATCGTTGGTTTGTACGTCGTCATGTTAATCGAACATCAGCAACTGTTAAAGGTTGGATACCAGGCTTTGTTATTGGACTTAAATATCCAAATTCATCTACTACTACTACAAATAATAATCATCTATCCGCATCACCATTACCTACTTCATCGTTATCTGTTAATAGTCTTAATCGTTTCTAAATCTATGAATGTGTGTATAAATAACGAGGATACGAATCTCTGTTTAAGCAGCAATCAAATATATTCTCTATATTTTGAGTTCTTTTTATTCTTCTGTATATGTGTATTTTTTTTTCAATTTGCAAAAAAAAACGATGTATGTCTATGTCATTGTGTGGTTTTCTTTTTTTCTCTTCTTTTTTGATCACTCCGTATTCTATATCACAGCTCATACAAAATATGTTGTTTTATTTCTCTGTTATTTTTGTTCCGACTAAATTTTAATGATGATCGATTAAAATATAAGATTGAATGAAAAATAAGAAGTTTATTTTTTGCACTAGTTGATCTTGATAAATACACGACCTTGGCGTAATATATATATATATCCAGGGGTAGATATATATATATATATACATGCATATGATATGATCTCTGTCGATGATGCTTTAATTCGTACATTTGTTATTATTATCCTTCGTTCTGATGTATATATATACATATATATATATATATTCTGTTAACAATGTACATGTACTTATATTAAGGATATCATGTCATCATAGGCCTAGATTCAATACGTAAACGCATAATAAATTCGCTCGCTTCGATCATTTTTTTATTTCTAAAAGTTTCTAATCACATTATTTTTTGTTCAAAATTCTATTATTTTTTTCTTGATATTATAGATAAACCATGCTTGCTGCTATTGTCCTCGCTGTTATTGCTATCGGTTGTGTTCATTCACAAACTGAACTTACTTTACCACCATTACCATATGACTACAAAGCTTATGAACCAGTTCTTTCTGAAAAAATTATGCGATTACATCATGATAAACATTTCTTTACATATATGAATAAAACCAATGCTGCTCTTAAAGCCATGTTTGTTGACACAAAAATGGATGGTAAATTAAAGGAAATCGCTAAATTACCAATAGAAGATATTCTTACACAATTACAAGTTTTACCAGATCAATATCATTTAGCTTTACGTCATAACGGTGGTGGTTATCTTAATCATCGATTTTTCTTTTCAATCTTAAAAGCTCCAACAGCAACAGTTGCCGAAAATAAACCAACAGGTGATTTATTAGCAGCTATTGAAAAAAGTTTCGGTACATTTGAAAAATTCCACGAATTATTCTCCGCTGCATCAGTTAATCTCTTTGGTTCCGGTTGGGTTTGGCTTTATGTTGATGCACGAACAAATCAACTCGTTCTTAACTTCACAGCTAATCAAGATCATCCGTAAATAATAGATTAATATGAATATCATTTTATTTTATTTTATTTTTTTCTCTTATAGAATTATGTTCGATAAAAACAATTACGTAGTTATGGGTATTGATCTTTGGGAACATTCTTATTATCCAGTCTATGAAAATCGTCGTGCTGAATATGTTGATAATTTCTGGCGAATTGTTGATTGGAATGTTGTTGGTAAAATTTTTACTGAACGTCCAATTAAACGAAGCGATTTATAAAATAACCAACGTTAACATTCCGACTAAGATTTTCATAATTAACAGTGATTTTTAGAGTTTATTTGAAAACATGTTTTTTATGTTTGATTTTGCTCATAATAAAAGATTTTTAAAAAATCAACTTCAACTTTCTTTATTTTTTAACAAAATCGGATATGAAGGTATGGCTCACCGGTGAGCCACACTATATTATAAGGAAAAACTGTTGGACAGGAGATTGAATGTAATATGCGATATTTAAGACGAAAAGATTGATCACAGTCAGAATAGAAAGTTTTCCTTCCTTTTTTTCCTAGTAACCAGTGCAGTGTCTATATTTCTTTGAGCTAGTAATCAAGGAGTTTGCACTTTTTAACTATATCTGGAATATATTACATAGAAAATAGCATGAGTTCAAGATAATTTAATAGAATATCTTCGCCATCGATTGATAGTTCTATTTGATAGCCTTGAAATTTTGGAAAAATTAAAGCTGTCATTGTATATTTACCACCATTAATAAATAGTTCAGTAGAACATCGATCTACAATCACTTGTAATTTAAGTATACCTGTTGTTAATGTTTCTTTATCTAATGACATATTAAATTGTGGAAAAAACGAATCATCAAATTTAATATTTCCAGAATGTGATCGATCAAATTCTATTTGATTTTTATTACCAATATATTTGATTTCTGTATATTCAAGTTTATCTATAGTTTGTCGAAGACGTATATGAATATTAGTTGTTTTTGTAATATTATGAAATTCAGTATTTAACATATAAACATCATGTGAACTATTCAATATCAAATTAGCTGACTTTGATGATAGTTTTCGACGATGAAATGTAAGAAGTTGTTTTGAATATAAATAAAGTTCATGAGCAGGTAATTGTCGAAGATGATAAGTTTTTGTAAATGAATTAAAATCAAGCTGTAATTGACGAGGTATAGTCATTTGTCCTCGCCATAATGGTGCAGTTGGAAGTTCTCGAGCATATTGCCAATTATTCATCCAAGATATGAGTATATGTCGCCCATCATATTGAGGTATATTATGAAATGTAATACCTGCATAAAAATCAGATCCATAATCAAGCCAATTGATCGTTTGTGATGATTGTATATTGCGAAATATATATCCATCAAATGTACCAATAAAATATTGCATACCTGATCCACCAGCTGGACTACCTCTTTGTACTGATACTAATAGAACCCATAAATTAGTTTGATTCTTGAGTTTTACTTGTGAAAATTCGATAAGATCTGGACATTCCCAAGTACCGCCATGTGAACCTTCATTGTGACCAAAATGAGATATGAGTGACCAATGAATAAGATCAATAGATTTATAAAATTGTACATGATCACCACCAGTTAAAACAAGAATCCATGAATTAGTTGGTACATGAAACATGACTTTAGGATCACGAAAAGCGTTTCTTGTTATTTTATCACTAAGTCTATCTGCTTTTGAGATATTGTTGTATAATGGAATAACTGGATTTGATTCATATTTAGTCCATGTACGTCCTTAAATGTAAATCAATATAATTTTTCAAATGTTTTGAAAAGTATAATTACCTTTATCAAGACTATAAGCCATATGTTGTTCTTGCCATCGTTGATATTGCCATGTATAAATAGCAATCATAGGATGTATATTTGTATTTTTTTGAAAACCAGTAATATTCTTCCAATCAATAACAACTGAACCTGACCATATACCAGCTATATCATCTTCAGGTGGTATTGCAATTGATAATTCATTCCATGTTATCAAATCTTTGCTTACTGCATGACCCCAATGCATATTTATAGACATTGGTGCTTTAGGATAATATTGATAGAAAAGATGCCATTCAGTATCATAATAAACAAGACCATTTGGATCATTTATCCAGTTTTTCTTAGGTGAAAAATGAATGAGAGGACGATGTTGATGATGTGGAATTATAGTGTTAGAGATCTGAAAGAAATAATAAACGTTTATATAAAACTAAATAGTTCGTCTTACCTCTTTGACCACCTCGGGTAATGAATTGGATTCAGATATCGAGCTAAAACATATGATTTATAAAAATTATAATTCTATCTAAGCATACTTGTGATTTGTATGATCACTCATAACATATTTCACCAAGTAAATAATAATGCCAAGAATCATTATTTTGCCAATTATTGTTCGTGATAAATTATTAATAGAATTATTATGATGACGATACATGACTAATCGACTTGAAAAAAAAGAATAATTAACTATCAAAATATAAACATGAAGAAATCTTGTATATTTCCTCACAGGTCATGTTGTGTTTTTTTTGTATATACATTCATCTGTATGACGGTTATGTAGGAGAATAGAAAAAAGATACGGATGAGCAATTTATACGTTTTTCATTGGTCAATCAATGATAAAAATTTGACTTGATTTAAATAGTAAAGAATAAAATACTGTCTTTACATTTTCACACTGAAAAAAACACTTTTGTTCCGTTATCAAGAAAAAAAACGTATGCAATTTACTTATGTCTTATTAACGCGTTATGAAGCATAACGTTGTTCACAACTGAGTGATGTGAATATTTTTAAATATATTTATTCTGTGTATTGATTGAATCTTCATAAATTTTAAGTTAGAACTACTTGAGAAAGTACGCATTTATTTATAGACGAATCGACAAAAATAACAAAACTGTTACTTTTCTTAATTGGCATAATTAGAATGAATACGTCATAACTTTCTTTAAATAACTGATGATACATAATGAGACCCTCGACTAATGTTACTTATTCAAAACATTGTAATATTAAACTTTCTCATGTCTACATCTCATTTTTGTTTCATATTCAAAGAAAATTATATAAATATACATTGACATTTATTTTGTATATATTTACTTGTCAAATAGTTATTGATTCAAATATATTCACATATAGAAATAAGGTAAACTCTTCTTCCTTAAAATAACTTAGATGTCGCTAGTTGAAAGAAAATTGAATTAAATTAATCAAATTTATTTTAAATAGAATATATAGAAATAAAAACAATAATCGAATCATGATAAGAAACAAGAATGTATTGTTTTTATCTTTATGTTAAATTGAAAAGAAAGCTTATTATTTGATAGGTTCGTTTATTTATTATTTTTCTTTGTGTTTTTGTTCTAAAAACTACTGGTTAATGCTATACACCTTAGGAAGAAGAGAAAAGCAGATATAATGTATTTATATTGACTATTGAGTAAAGTCAAATAATTAATTTTATTATTACAAGAGTTAATCTGATAATCTGATTTTATTATAAATTCAAAGAAAATGTTAAATAGATCATTGTATTAAATACAGAAAGGTGTAAAAAGGTATTAATTACGAAGAAAAATAATTTTTATATATTTCTTTTATTCTAGATACATTCTATTCTAGTTTATATTAAAAAAAATCAAGATTGATATTATCGAATAAGGTATGAGAGAGAGAAAGTACATTTTATAGTTATTAGTTTTTCTTATTTAATGAGTTTATTTATGAAGTCAGCACTCATTAGCAGTGTCATGTTTAATTTTACTAAAATACTTTTTTTTCTTTACTTCTTCTTATTCTATGCATAGAATACTTCGGTTTTACTTTTGAGTGTAACTAGAAACAAAAATAGTTTCTATAAACGATGTTACTCGATCAAAGTATATGAGACACCATGGTCGATTAATAAATAGTTTGAACTAACATAGTGTTAGATTATGATTACTCAGTTTGTTATATATATAGAGAATACTATAGAGAATAGTAATGCTTATTGTTTACATGTAAGTATATAGAACATGACTTTTAATATCATAAAATTGTTTTTTTTATTTCAATAGTGCTGGCTTCGAAGCTGTAGAAATGTTATATAAATAGTTTCTTGAGATATTCAGTCATATATATATATTATTGTTCAGCATTTTGTGAATTATTCTGATAGACCAAAACTTTTAATTCTGTAAATTTCATCTTTTCCGAACATATGATTTGATGATAAAGTCATATTGACAACTTTAGAAAAAGTGATATGTAAGACTTTAAGAAAAAAATAATCCTTCTAAGATTTCTCATAACATGTCTTGTGATTCTAGGTTATAATTATGAACAAAAATAAAATAGTCTGTGCAAGTGTTAAAACGAGAGTCTGTTGATCATATTTTAATTTTATGAGATTTAGTGTACGATTATTATTGTGAGTATTTAAGGTAAAAATTGATAATAATACTGTCTATACATCCATTCAACGGAAAAGAGGATTAAGTTCAATAGAAATTATTGAACCTTTTGTCATACGATGAATATTTATGATACAATAACTTCTTTAATTATTTGTTTTTAGAATTTTCTTCTTTTTATTGTTAATAAAATTTTGAGAATGCGTGAATATAAAATAGTTGTACTTGGTAGTGGTGGTGTCGGTAAATCTGCATTAACAGTACAATTTGTACAAGGTTTATTTGTGGAAAAATA